GCCCAACAAATAGAATTATTTACTGTTATCAATAATCACGTATCTTCATCTCCTCATTGCCATAACGCCCTTACTATTCTGTAGGAACATCATCAGCAAGAAAAACACTAATGAATTAACAAACGAGCGATTGTTCTCTTTTTTTTTAAGGGTTCAATTCTGTCTGACTATTCAAAAAATATTCGTAAAGGGCAATATCTGAAACAAAACATTTGCAATGCAAAAACTGTCGGAAATCAACATCATAAATAAGATAGTTCATTCACAGACTTACAATGTACTAGTTTGCTAGTGAGGTTCACAGCACAATTTTGATTTCAACGAGAAATAAGTTGTATTTCATAAGGCGTTAAGCGTACGTTTCGAAAATTGAAGGTGATCGGTGCATATCAAATACGATGGTGCGTATTTAACCTTGTCTCGTGATTCGGACCTTTTCAAATGCGCAGTATGCAGCCGAGTAAAAAATATGAAAATGTTCGCATTATGAACCAAAACAAGGAATCGGTATTTTGTCAGCATTAGAACACAACTTAAAATCAAGAAGACATATAAGAAATCGCTCATGCGATCTATACAGGATGATTTTTCATGCATCACTTGCTATCGAAACTCAGACGACTCTTTTCAGAATTTAATGCAATTAAATAAACAAAAATAACCGTAAACATCACAACAGGAGAAATCAACCACTAAGGGCAGACAGTGCATGCAGACGAGAAGCGAGAAATCACTTACCCTCGCAAAATCCGACGAATGGAAACACAACAAGCGTAAACAAAGCCACATAATAACAGCAAGGGCATATGTTGACCAAGTCTACTACCATTTTCAACGTAAAAGTCGTCAAATCTTTAAAAGTGCAATCGAAGATCTCCCATACTCTTGGGTTTGAAATGGCTGTTCGTGCCTCCAATATGAGTGGCGACGTCCAACAGCTTACAATTTCACAGCTATTGTTGGGGCGTAATCAAGTGTAGCGTATCACATTTCTCTGTCAATGTGGTTACGTCGTTTCATGTGGTTGTGAAACATACTCGTTTAGCTTCCGAGAGTGCTGGACCTTGAACGCGTAGTATCCGATCCAAACTCTTCCAAAACAAAGCAGAATTCGACGAAAATCAAATTCATGCACTCTGGTATCGACGAAAAATGTTTAAAATCCTCGATTAAACTCCTTCGTGCGCTTTACTATCGTCGATAGATTCACTACCTCCTTTCCCGCGTTGAAGGAAACAATGGGCGAAGTTTAGCGTATCAGCGATACTACACGCAGACGTCAATCAAATCGATTGGTGTATACAAATCGCATCACGTAAAATCGTGATATCTTTATCACATGTGTATTTCGGTCCAAGAACCGTTTAGACTTTTAACCTAAAGTACACTTACTATTTACGTGATAGAAGTCAGCTGCGTGTGAAATATAAACAGACTACCATGGGGGAGTGGGTGGGGAAATCGGCGCAAATTAGGGATGGGAGGCTGAAAACTTTTGTCATCAAACAGCTGTTAGGTCCTGATAAGGCCAAGAGATTGACATCGAAGACGAAGAAGAATGAAAAGAAGAAAGATGAAAATCAAATAGCAATGTTACGAGCTTAAAAAGCTGTCCATGCTTCTAGAGAACTATTTTTTCCTAGAAATTAGAACTTCCTGAGTCGTGCAAGATACGGAACCAACATAGGCGTGATGGAGCTTGTGGTTTTAGGACAGGAAAAGATCACGTTTTTTATTGTTTTGCTTTTCGCGATTATTTCATCTTAACATTCAAAAGTTATATTTATCCTTTTTCTGCCAATACTCTCATTTTCTGAACCTGTGCTGTAATTGAATTATAGTAATACCAGAAGTAATTCATTCATTCCTTATGTGACCCAGAGGTTGAAAATCAAGAAGTTTTGTCAACGCGCAACTCAGTCCTTAAAATGAAACCTGGTAAGACACACCTACATGAAACTCCACTCTACCCAAGAGACCAATTACAAACCGATCAATTCTTTCTTTTCTCGCAAGAGTTACATGCAAAATTTCGGTACGCTGTGAAGAGACTTCCTTCTTTTTCTAAATCACTGAAGAATGCGGATTTTATTGCTGAACGTCGTTCACTGGAAAAAGAGGCCACTGATATTACATCGGTATTACATCGCAGGCTAATTTTTTACTTATTCAGTATTATTAAGCAAAATTTCGTTTTATAACAGCTGATATCAGGCTATAGCAACCAGCAAATCGTGAAAATTGGGTAGAAACTATGGTATTTAGCGCGTAATAAGGACTCTTAGTGGGTTCATGTACGAGACAGAATTGTAGGCATTTGAATTTCTTGTATGAGCAATTTTATACAATCGATAAAAACCAGGGTCGAACTCACCACAAGATAAGACTGACCACTTCCGTACTAACGGTCTCAATGAGTACAACCCACTAAGCGTATAAATGAAGCACAAACGGGCAAAGCAGTTACACACGTATATTCTTGTTTCTCAATGTTAATCTCAAAGAGACAGATAATTAAAAGACGAAAACATTGCTTAATCTGTTGCCAGATTTGAGAGAAACTCAAAAGTTTTGTTCTTCCGTTTTTAAACATGAATTAAGACTAGAACTCATCCCCCAATTAGTTACCACGAACGATTAATCAGGAAAATCCCTTAACATATCACGCTGAAGTATCGATTCTTCAGGTTTCTAAGGTGATTAAATCTAATACGCTTTCAAACCGATTCGATCCGATTAAAAAACATCTTTTTTTTCCAAACACGCCAAATGAAGAGATCACATCTCTGAGCCCTTCATTTTCTGTAGTGTATCTAAAAAAAGTAAAAATTCAAATCGAAAGTGAAAAAGCGATAGAATAACAACAAAAATCACTTAGTTAGCCGCATGTGCTTGATCGATCTCTATAAGAACCGAAGGGCCACACAATTTTTCGAGACTGTAAAAGGAAGATCTACGCGTCTATGATCAGGCTAAGTCAACTTTTACTTGTTCTTCAGAATCCGACTTTTTGCAAGGGGTTCTTCCAAACCTTAAAAAACATTGCCCAACAGAGTGCCCTTTTTTTATCCATCGAAGTCAATGTTGACGCGCTTTTAGTGAGTCCTGTTGATCAATCCGTCACGTACCATGTTCTATTTATCGAGATTAAACTTCCGGTACTCCTTTCAAGGCAGTGACGCATGAGCACGTCTCAACTTGTTTTTATTGTATACTGCATTTTATCACAAATACCGCAATCTTATTGGGTACGCTATTCGTTATCTATCGTTAAAACATAGACTCTATGTTGTCATGGGTCTGTAGAATGATAGATCACAGATGACGTCAAACCGTGGTAACGACAAAAAATGATACACACAACATAAGTGGCATACAAGGTATAGCAGAGTGTGTCACTGATGATCCTACCACACTTTTGACGCCTTCTATGATGTTTTTGAGCAAATTCGCGGCAACATGGAATCTATTTATCATCTATCTAATAAAGAAGCAAATTGTTGCTTATAATGACGTCATCTAGGCGCGTCTGTCTTTTCCTCCCGTTTCCAGTGAAACCCTAGTAAGAACCAGTCAAAACGCCGGTATGATTCAGCTGATTTCATAATCCGTGATACTATGGTGAGTGGCCCAACAGTGTGTGGTAATGAACAATTACAATAAAACGTGAGTCTGTTTTGTAGTTAAGGTCTAAGTTGGCCGTTAAATTGACTAGTACAGCTCAGTAGAAAATATTTCCGAAAAAAAAGGATGCTAAATGCTTTGGTTTCATTCTTGCATGTCTTGTTGTCAATTTCTTTTACTTCTCTATCTGCCCCGTCTTCGCCGCGTTGTCTTGATGAAATAATCCTGTGTCCCCGGTTTCCGAAACTTCTTCGGGTCACACTAACGCCATCCTACGCCTACGATTCTGGAGATTTCTTCTCCCAGTGGAGAATTCTATTTTTGGGATGTGCTAAACGATCCTTAGAAGTTTACAATGTTTGTTTTAGGTCCTGAACCAAGCAGACCCTGCTAGAACGTGTTGCCATTCGAGACACAAAATTTTGCGTTCGGTATTGGCCCTTATGGATCCTTGTGGTAATCGAGGTGTCGTGGCTCATGATTTTAGACAGTTCCAGGCATTCAGATAATAAATGGCTCTCAGTTGTAGCACAGAATGAAAAAGGAGGAGGGGAATTGTTAATCATCCTGCATTTTCAATTGAAGAAATTCGTTAGTTGTGAGTAGCCTAATGAAGTCCGGCGGCTCCGACCCTCTAAAATGATGATTAAAGCAGAAAATCCTAGACCTCCCCTCCCTCTGGAAATAACACCAAGATTAAAGTGTCTCGCATTTGCTTGCGGGAAACGCCAGTTGGCGCTCTGCCGATTCTGAAAGGAGTGATATTGGCGTGATTATTACCTTCAGTCCATCTTGAGGGTTTTTGAGCAACAGAAATGTAAAAAATAGTCTCCGGAAGTTTTGGTGAATGAAGTGACAACATTTATCTAATCTCCTTTTTTCTAACAATTACCGACAGAAATAATCAATACCTGGCAAAATATTAATCGGCGTCACTAAACAGTGTTACCGCCGTTCAACTTTCGAATAATAGTAAAAAAGTGTACATCGTACTGATTGGCTACATATATATCACCGAAGAAAGATTTAGTAAAGTATGCCAGATGGTTTCAATGTCTTGCCTATAGACAACAATTCATACGGCATCCTACGTTTACAATGAACTCCAAAACCGGAAAACGAATACATTTGAAAATTGCAATATAGTCTTCCAGCGAATCTGGAGAATGGTATATCAGCGGTGTTGCCCATTTTCACTTCGGCTAAAACTTGCAGGTTTTGGGGCTTCAAAACTGGTGAAAATGAGATTGATGAAGTAATTTGTTCAAACGAGATATGATGTATAACGAAAAAGCTGATAGTTTTTTAATGCAAATTGAACATCCATCTGACGTATCTGCTCATGAATATTTATTCTCAGTTTATATTTTTTCACGCTTGGTTCAAACGATAGTCGGTTGCTGTTCATAACAACATTTTATCCCTTTGAGGAACCGGTGGGAAGAAGACTCAGTTACATCCGAGTCCGTAGGTAGGCAATTTTGTGATCTCTCGTGATGAAATTCCTTCTTTCTAGGAATATTCACTTACGAAATATTTTTTACGGAAAAGGGCCCTGTGGAGTCTTTTACCTTTGTATCATGATTTCTCACGTATGCAAGTTGGTAAGATGGTTTTACAAAAGCGTGTTTTATAATAAAAAATGAAGCCTGTTTCATGTTCATAAGCGCCTAAAAAGTGACTTCTTGGTTGAAAAAATTAGTGCCTCTCAAGTGAAACTAAAATTTCCATTTATATTTATCTCGCCCGCGTTAGTACATTGTGGGAAGGAACATCCATAATCCCTCCTGGATTTTCTTTGCTTTCTCTTATGTTTTAACTTTATCAAGATAGAAAAAAGCACGAGTGTCACACTCGAAAAAACGATTCAAAATATACCGGCCGATCAATCAATAGCAAGTTTTCGTGGTTTTCTTATGGCCTGATGCATTTTGAGAGCGAAGGAACTGATGTGGACCAAGGGAAAAAATCTTTGAAAATAAAAGTCCATAAACGAGGAAAGTGAATGGACCTTTGTACCAAATGTATTACTTCTGAGAACTCTCTCTATGCGCGGAGAATTTAATTCTGAAACGTTGGTGTTTATTTACTGTCTGTAAGTTAATACTCTGGAGAAAATCTGCCTACCTGTTGTTCAGATACGATAAACAATTCCTTGAAAGGAAATACGTGGCTCAAGTCATGAAAATTAGGTTGGGGATATTAAATATTGACACTGGCTAGACTCACATGGTACAGAATTTCACTTGCCAAAAAAATTTCAGTTTAAAGCGGAGCTCGAGAAACACCTGGTAAAGTGTCTTTAGTTGTTATAGCTTGATATTAGTCTTGAGTTGTCAGAAGAAGTACTGTCAGACCATGGATTTAATTAAGGAAAATATCCAATGGACCTTGTAAAATAAAATTTTTCTTAATGATTCGTGACAGTGTAAACAAATGATCAAAAGTGGCTCCTAAAAAGCCAAGAGTAAAAAATAAATGGAACTTAACTATTTCTATTTCATGATTCGGCCGATGGCAGGTGAATTTCAACGACGACTTAATTGTCTTCGAATTAGTATTGCTAAAGAATAATATTTAAAACCGCCTGCTTCAGTAGTTTTGACATTGATATTAAAACACTGCCAGTATCATCAATTAGGGCTTGCGTACAGAAAGGTTTGAAATATTCTTTGGAAGTAAATTAACTTGAAACAAAGATCGCGTGATTATTATGGAAAGCCGCGCGAAAGCGTTGTTTACGTGGTCTCAAGTCACGCATGGCGAAACGAAGACTTGACAAAGGTAACATGACAAATGCATTTAGACGAGTGTCCATCGTTTCTAAATAAAACAGATAAATAAATAAATTTGACCGGTACTGTTTTCCTTTTTTCATTTTTTTTCCCACAGGATACGTGTTACTCTCAGTTACCCAAAGTCAATTTGTAAAGTTCGTTTTATAACATTTTGTGTCTTGTTTTGTTTTACATTAATTTAAATAAATTCGAGTGAGTTGGACTTGTGGAAAATTAATTTTTGCAGGTGTGTCAGATAAAAGCTTCCGCTAAAATCTGCCCGGAATGATATAATATTATGCTCACTTCCAATATTCCTATTTACATTGGTAATTAAAAAACCGTCGACTCAAAATTGTAATTTTTTTGTTTTGCCTCTTTCTTCACTTTCGCCTCTAAGATATGTAAATCGCACAGTTTAAATTGACAATTTTAAAAGCGATCATTATCATTCATGGAACTTTGACTGACTCGTATTAAAGTTGTGCCCAATTTAAATGTAGATCTGGGAGAAAATGAACCCAGTATTACCGAATGACAAACGCCTGAGGGCATCAACCTCCTGGACTTGTCGGCCACACCGCTCACCGACAGTTGCTACGAATGTGATTTTCATTATTTAATGTTATTTTTAATACGCCTTTTACAAGGCGTATTAAACAATGAACGAAACTGGAGGCAGATAAATCTAAGAAATTTCTTGTTCATAATGCAGCATTTTGAATCATCAGAGGTAAGATACTAAACTCAGGTGATCGCGTTGCTCAGAAAAACGTTTTTTCCCAGCTTAATTTCAGCAGGTCCCAAACTGAATGCATTCGAATGGTTGCATAGGAAACATTGCATCATGGACAGGGATGGCAATGGACTCAATGAGACCGTAATGAACCCGACCAATTTAAGCGGTGAGTAGTAGGATAGGAATTCAAGAAAATATATTCAAGAAGTAAATTAATAGGTAGTCGATATGTCAAATATACTACTGCCTTTAACATGCTTATAAGAAAGGGGAGTGGTGGTGGGGTAAGTGGGGGGTAAAATGAAATATTACTGTCAGACTAATCCCTTTCACTGCAAGATTGCTGGATGTAATAATTTAGGACCCGCATGTATTGCTTGAGTTTAACTTGAGACTCTGAAATTTTGAAATTAAGGGCTTATGCTTCCAGGAAGGATTCCCTTTTTAAAGAGGTTATCAATTCAGTGTGAATAAAAGGCGGATTTAATTCATTTTTATCCGAGACAGAAATAAAATCTGTTACGGTCTTGTTTTATATGATCGCTCCTTCTTACATGGGGAAAAATTTCGTATTTTCCGTGACACAGGTTTTACTTCTTTTTTTCACATTTTCATGTCAACAGCAACGACAATAAAAACCAGAAAGTAACAAACGATATTTCTTTGATTTGCTTGGAAACCATAGAAAGAATGTTGGGGCTCAGAAAGCAGGTTTCCCCATGTTTATGACTTGCGCTCTTTAGCACATCCTTTAAGACGTCTTTTTTTAACTTTTCGGGAAGATTCTTCAAAAAGCAAAGAGGAGACGGTTGAGGTGGGTGTTATCGTAATGGGCCTCTGCTGTATTTGCCTGGTTGCCTGTGCACTAGCAGTTCTCCATCTCCGCTCGAGCAGCAGACGCATTTCAGGAAACCGTCGAAGAGCCGAACATTCAGGAGGTGTGTCTGAGGATCGATCACGTGACCCATTGGATGTGGCAGCACCGCCCTCTTATGACACAGGTAGTATGATCTTTCCTCGAAATATGTGACTCTGGAGAATAATTCTGGATCATAGACCGTATAGATTCCATGAACTTCTGAACTCCGCGCGGATGCTTCCTCCAATGACAAAAGGGAATTCGACCCTGATTGGTTCCCTCAAACAATATGATACGCTAACTTTGAAGAGCGCACTCGATATAGACTAAAACAAAAAATGATTACAGTCTTATAAGCGCAAGGGCCATAGTCAGACTTCAGAGCAAGATGAGGCAAGTTTCGACCGCCGAATTTTGAAATCTAGAGGCTCAGAAATGCTCTTTTAAGCATTTTCCGTGGCATTTTTCTTAAGAAAGTCACTCTTGAGCCAACATCAAGACAAGGCAGTTGCCTCGTCTTGCCTCATGCTAGCTACGGGCCTCATGAAAACTCCAAGTAGGTCAGGTAAATGCATGTAAATTGCTCTAAGATCAGACTACAAAGATTTTGCTCATGCATCTGATAATAGCTGATAGTGTGGCACAAGCACTCAAGAGATAATTCCAGGTCAAAAACCGATACACTTTCGAATTCTTCTTAACAATCAATATAAATTCCTTTTAAAGAAAATAGAAATGAGCATAGGAAGGATTACTATACCTAACAAAAGATTTCTTTGACCCATCTACAACTTACGTTTTCATAGGTTTTGTTGCTTTCCCATGTTTGGAGAGGGGATATTTAGAAAATGAATAGAAATTATCCAAGATCTTGTTGTCTTATGCATGAATAAGATTGGTCTAATATAGATATTTAATTTTGGAACATAGATTTATGCCCAGCTTTCTTTTTCGAATTGAGTCATAAATTGTACAAAATTTGTAATTGAATTGATTTTCTTCATATCGACGTCCACAAGAGATTACTAACCAGTTGATATTGTCTTGACGTCTTTTGATATTTTAATCATTTCATCCCCTTTTCCTTTAGTAATCCGTTCCCCTCACCTGTACCCGCCCTCCCGACAGATCTCTATGTCTCCTGGTGTTTCTGAGACGCGAAGAAGCTCCGGATCAAGTACATTCAGTATGTCGCTTCATAGTCCTCGACTCACCCATCATTATCTTGAAGCACCTCGAGAAACACCTGAAGAGAACCTCTCTGAACACCCGAGTTTGCAGATGTTTCACCAGGAGGACAATGAAGAGCCTCCCCCACCTTATCCAGGGAATATAATTTCAACAGAAACAGGACAAGATGCGAGTTTAACGGTCAATGTCTGTCAAGGCAACTCGAGAACATTCAGCGAGAGCACCGGACAAGGTGAAAGGAATCAGAGAACAGTTGAAAATGAGTTTAACAGTTGGAACTCGGAAGCACGGGAAAGTACAAGTCACGTGGTCAATGTGTGGACTAGTTGCGAGGCTTTGCATCAATCACCAAATGGAGATACCCGTAATGAATTATGTAGAACTGACATTGATCAATTAAATTACGAAAGGAGGATGCCAGTCTGCAATCTTAGACAACCTAAAGTTTTCCGGACGGTTGTTTCTTATTCATCGCAACTTCAACGTGGTAAAGAGGCCGTGAGCGAGTCTTTGGCCTTCTCTGATGAAGATGCTAACAACGTGTAGTCATTAATGCTGTTAAGCCAATCTTTCTATAGTAAATTCTCAATCATCAAGTTTGCAGTTTTATCTGACTCAGTGACCAAACCGTCATGTAGCGAAGCTCCCTCCCCGCTTCCCTAACTGTATACATAACTAGGTCCAGCACACTCTCCTGGGAGAAATGAACTCCTGCTACCATGATCTCTTAATAGAGGGGGAGGGGGAGGGGGAGGGTCCAACTTTGATGCAGAATAAACATCTTTTTTACACTGAAATATATCAAAATTTTTCATGATAATAAAATTTTAATTAGATACTTCAAGTTGTCGAAACGTCAGTCACTATTACCGACAACAGTTCTTCTCAGAACTACACTCATCCGGACGATCAAAGTACACTTTTATATTTATAGTAATGTAATTTTGAACCCCAAGGGTTCAAATAATTTGCTGTACTTCAAGCTGCGTAGCAGTATTCCTTCCTGTTGATGGAGAATCATTTGGTTTCAGACGAGTGGTAGATATAAATATACCAACAGCTCTGGAGAGGAGGGTAGCGTGGGGGTGTTCCGGACCCCTTCAACCCTCTCCCTGGATTCGCCACCGAAGTACATTTTCATAATCTGACCAATTACCGCTTTTGTGACCAAATACTTTCCACATGAAATAACTTGCATTGTCAAAGTAGTTGAACAGATGAAAAAGAAATCAATTTGATCACAATATGGTTAGAAAAGCCATGCTTATTTGATGTAACGTCGAGCGAGTACAGTAATCGTCTCAAGAAGGACTGTGTTTCAATAAATCCATGTCTTCGACCATAATTTTTTATTGTTCCGCCTTTCAGAACGCTTCCTGGAGCGATTTAGTTGCAAAGTATGGCAGTATGAAGTCGTTTGTACAATCTTTTGCTTTTTGAAAATAACTTCCTTCCACACACCACACAACAATTTTAAGACTTTGCCGCTTCCATCTAAGTTATAGCGCGAAAAATGACAAGAAAAGTTGTCTCAAATACTCGATCCATTGTTGCTTTCCGACGTATTTTCCTGCTTCTTTTCTTTCGCGATTACCGACGCAGGTGCATGCCAGCGGTTTCTCGCATCAAACTAAAGTTTACAGGACATGCGCAACAAAATGCCCCTCTACCATGACACATTCCTTCATCGGCAGGGAGAATGAAGACTAAGGAAGTTGGAAAAATTCTCGTGCTTTTACCTTGCCATATCATTCTTTTATCAAATGCTATTGTGCTTCCAAATTTCTATCCTTTTGGAGTGAGCGAGGGAGACCAGCTTGTTCCGACAAATGATGACGGAAGCTCTGGGACGATACCGATATCAATTTTGTTTCCCTTCTACGATAGGAATCACAATTCGCTGTTTGTAAGTATGCTCATTGTTTTTTTATCGCAAAAAACTGAATATGTCCCTTTGTGATACAAGCACATTAACAACGGGGCATTTCACATTACAAACATTATTATAAAAGTAATAGTGTAGTTTGATCGTCCGGGTGAGTGTAGTCCTGAGAAGGACTGTTGTCGGTAATGGTGACTGACGTTTTGACAACCTGAGCGGAGGTCAATATCAGAGTCAAGTGTATCACTATAAATGGCGTCCAGACAGATTGTCTTGAAGCCTCATAGCTAGTCTTGGTGTAAGTAGTCGCGAAAATATCGAAGTGGATTCAGTTAGCCGACTCGGTAGGACGCCGTTAGTTCATTAAGGAAGGAAGAAGATAATTGCGTGTTTTGTTTAAACGGCGTTGTGATGACGTTTAATTCATCCTGTGTTCAAAGATTCGTAATTCGCAATGCAACATTGTTAAACAACAATAAAACTATAACAACGTTGAATAAAGGGGATAAGTTTCTTAAGAAACTGTGGTGTTGTGTCGGTGGGAGAGTATAACGGGTAATTCGGTACTGTCAACGGAGTTTGTAGCGTAAATTGGCCGTCGTAAAGAGTTTAAAAGCTGAAGTTTCTAGCGTAAGCCCTTCGTCAGAGCGAATGGAGAAATTCTGAGTTTTGTGTCTGTTGATAGGCAGAAAACAGAGTAACGTTATTCGTGGGAATATGGTAACAACGTTGGTCTACTTCGTAAAAGATTCAAATGCCGAAATACTAAGAATAGAAAAATGATTAAACAGATATCACCAGACCGGAACTTTTTTGAATAACTTATGAAACAGAATTAACATGATTACGTTGCATAGCCTCTTTTCCAAGTCAACCGTTACCTTTATTTTTAAGGCATGAACCTTCAAATCGATGACATAAGCGGAAAAAAAAGCTATCATATGACATGATCATATAAACTTTAAGAGACATATATGTGCTCCAGAAACCCTATAACTTGTGTTTGCTCCTTGTCCCACTGCAAGGAGTATCAATTAAGACATATAGCTGACAGCGTCTTGACATTTCAAAGAGTAATCCAACCCTTTAAGATTGTCCTCCAATACGCTAAAAAATTCATCAACTTAGTGAATTTGAAATTTTTCAGCAGAAGACTGGAAGATTAGTTCTTGTCTCGCTTTAAAAGTAACCCTTCATAATCTTTTGAAAGAGGACGTCAGAAACAACAATCCGCATTTAACTTTTTCTTTTATTTCGTTTGATCAACTAATCTCCCAAGCTTCCTCCTGTCCAAGGCTTCATCAGGGAACCCTAAGTTGAAGGCTTGACTTTAATTTTTAAAGAATTATTTATCCAAAAATTAATACTATTGAAGGACGGGTTTCAG